ATTTAGAAAATTGAAAGTGCCTCCTATAAGAAACAGGTCTCTATTAATGGCTCCCTGTATGGCATTCCCCATACGTCATGATTCTATCCATTTCAGTCTTTAGACATTCAAATTCATGTTTGTTTTACTGATTATTCAATAATATTTTTGTCTGTAACTCTTCCCAAAATTGTGGGGGGAAGTTTTGTGTTTGTTTTTCATAGGAACGTTATCTCAAAACTCCTGTACGCCTTGCTTTATGTGCTGTTCTCAGAGGTTAAACTAAAGGTCTTAAATATTATCTGGTGGTGAAAACAGCTTAGCTTCTGAGTGAGAAGCTGAAAATCTGTGATTCGGTATTCTCAAAAATACTAAGTACTTTATGATTTTCCATTGGGAGCTGTAATAGTTTAGTAACTGGTGATTTTTGTGAGATTGAACATAACACTCTATCTGCCAGACCATGCAAGAAGAATTACATGGGAGTAAAATGGAATGTTCTCCTTTCTGATAATAAGGCTGGAAGGTTTATTATTCTGATGTGGAACGTTCCATTTCTAATTTATTAGTTACCTGTATGGTTCCTTGTATAGCAAAAAGAGAAGAAACTAGAATATTGTTTCTAAGAATGAGCCATAATAATTAAAAGATAGGAAACTATTAATAATGAGAGGTCATATGTGGGAATATTTTTCATTTTCCTTGAAAATATTAGTGAAGAAACACCACATTAATCTAGAAAGCATGTTAATTTGTTAAATAAAGCATCCTCTGAAGCATTCAAGAGATTCTCTCCCCTTTAGGAAACAAGTACAGAGTTAGAATATTTTGTTGGATAGTAAAAGAGCTGGATAATTCCCTCAGGTTCTCCACATCTTGCTTCCATTAGACTAAAATAATTTCTTTGCTTCGGCCCTATTTCTTGTTTATGTTATGTTTAATGTGCTTTACTTGACTTACACTTTTGTATATGAATTAGCCCTTAAGGAGTACTAATATAAAGAACCATTCTATTAAGGTCTATTTGTGTATGGTAATCTAACTTTCTTAGTGTTTACCATTTATATATTTCCTTCTTCCTCTAGCTTCAAAGGAACATTTTGGCATCCAATCCCAGAGTCACAAGATTCCACATTAATTGGGAAGATAACACAGAAAAACTGGAAGATGCAGAGAGCAGTAATCCAAATCTACAATCACTTCTTTCAACAGATGCATTACCTTCAGCATCAAAGGGATGGTCCACATCAGAAAACTCACTAAATGTCATGTTAGAATCCCACATGGACTGCATGTGACCACCTGCCATCCCTATAGTACAAATTAAGCTATAAAAACACACAGAACTATTTCCCTGAAATTCCGTAAGTCCATAGTCAAGATACAATGTGAAGAATTTGTTTAAAAAACATCCTGTAGAAAGTTTATAAGAAAACCAGTATTTGAGCAAATTGTGGAATATAAATACAACTATTTTTAAGTAATTTTTTTCTCTAATGTGTTATTTTATTTGTTCTGAAACTAATCTGATTAAAACATATATATTATTTTCTTTTCCTCTATATGTAATTAAAGCACTTATAAAGAAAAGTGAATCATTAGACCAGGTTGTAAAGATGTCTTAGCCTCTTGGACAGTAATCTTTGGACCACTATTTTACTAATCTTCGAAAGAACAAAGTTAACTTCAACTAAAATGTGTCTTCCTGTGATAACGCATAATTTGGTTTGATTTAAGGGGCAAGTTTTCATTCTTTTTACAGCATGCCCTTAAAGAAGGGATTTGAAGTCAACTGTATGCTACCAAGAACTCTAGGATCTGATTTTCCAGGCCACCTTGAAGCCTCTTATGGCTACTGTTCAGTTCATATAATGTTAGCCAGCATTCAGTTTGGTTTCTAAGACAACAAATGTGGTTAATTGTTTATAAGGTCCTCTGGCTATGGTTTTTGTTTTTATAACAGTTCAGGACATCAGAACACTCCTTGAATCATACATCATTATTACCCAGTGAATTCAGCAGGTCAAGAGCAGATACAAACTCCCTAAGTTTAAGAGCAGGAGAGTATAATGACTTCGTTCCATTCGTTAGATTTATAATACTATGAACTTAACTCTTTAAAACTGTTTTGCTAGGTCATCTGTTGTTGGCAGCATTTATATAAAAGCAGTGGATTTGGAAAGATATATTTAGCTTTATCATAATAGATAAGTTACTATTTTGGAACTATATATATTTTCACATGTAGTACTCTTCTCCATATCCCCTGACACTCATGCACAATAAGATTAGGCATATTTGTGGTGGACATATTTTAGATAGCTTTTCCAGGTAAGTTTTTTAAAAGCAGTCTTGGAAAGGAATGCATTAACTAAATGGGCCAAAAGGTTCTTTTTCATTGATGAGAGCTAGGTCCTTCCTCAAAAAGTTTCTTATGCTCCAGTAAATTAAATGTAGAATATTCTCATTACTCTTGCTGCTAAGCAAGGCATTAGCCATATAATGCAGAGTTATGCAGTGCCTTCATATCTCAAACTTTTATACTGCACTTTTTAAAGCTTATTTTGAGGAAGGGAAAGGGGCATTTGTCTGCATATGGATTCTCAGTTGTATATATTTCCTGTCATTCTAAAAAGTGACTTTGTGAAGCAAAATTTTGCTAAATGTTAAACTTTGAAATTTAATATACCAGATAATTAAAATACTGTCCACTAACTAGGTCATAGACTTTAAAAGTAAAATACATCCGGCTGTTAAAACAATATGAAGAAAATTTCATTTTTGTCTAATTGCAATTAAAAGAAAATGTTAAAATATTAAAATGAAAATAAAAGTAATACTTTCCAACCAAGAGCTCAGTGATTAATATAACAAGAACACAATATGTGCTTGTTAGGAATAAAGCATATATAAGCCAAATTTCCAAATCAATTCACTGCTGAGTTTTTATTCTGATTAATTATGATTGGTTTGTACTGACATCAAAGGGTTAGGTTTTTATATCAATTTGTAAACCAACAGCCAATTTTCACAAAAGTTTGAGACTTAAAAACTATTATCTCTTATTTAAAATTTTTATGGTGCTATAAGAATTTTAAAAATTAAAATATTTAGTATTCAGACATTAGGAACTAAGAAACTGTAATGCACAGGTTGTTTTTTATTTTTCCTGTTTAGCTAGATGCTGCCTGAATTATAGCTAGAAAGTTTAGAACTGTTTTTTCCCTTTCTGATCACAGTAAATAGCTGTGTCCTGAGAAGATAAACATGAACAAATTAGTTATTGCCACAAAAGAGATAGGCGCGTAGGCTGGAGGGAATGAGGATATCATTTGAGCTGAGAAAACAAGCAGAAGTCTGAGAAACGTGCATGCATTCGTTCATTTATAACCTTATACAACCGTAGGCTTCCATGTGGTCTTACCCTCAGGTTTGGGGTTTCTAGTTTTACCAAGAAAGCCTGTGGCAGCAGTTTTCAAAACTTTTTATGTAATCCATGGTAAAAAAAAAATTTAAGTATGACCTGATAACACAAATATGTATTTATATTAACAATTTTCATGAAAATGTGCCCTTAATAGTGCACCTTTACTGTGTGCACTAGTATATTCTAGTATCTTTTATTTTGAAAGTGCTGGTTTTGACCCACTGAAATAACTTTATGACCCTCTAATGGGTTGTGATACAGTTTAAAGAAAGGCTAGTCTGGCCCTTTGGGTAGACGAGAAGTAGCAATAACTTTTCTACAGTTCTAAAATTTATATTCCCTCTACCTGTCATTTCTTTCATATTCGGATTATGAATTCGGCAATAAGAAAAAGAAGGAAAAGGGCTAATACAATGAATTCATCAGCCATTCACTTTAAAACTGTCCAAATACTCTGAAGTTACTAATAGTCCACAAATTGGACTCATTTCTTGACACTCCATATAATTAACTTAGGAAACATTCCACATTGTTACTCGGGAAACACCTTTATTTGTTTGTTGTTAATATCATTTAATACAGAACTCTAGAACACTGGGTCATAACAATTTTAAAATGCACATGAAGTGTTCTTCATATATGCTTGCCTCTAGTATCCTAAAGCTTGTCTACGCCTCTGAATCCATAAATCCCTTCTTATCAGTGCTTAATGTACTGTTTAGTTATATTTCAAAACCTAAGAGTCCCTTAAAATGGGGCTCTTGTTACATAGGACCATTAATGGAGCATTTGCTGTTTTATGGTAAGTTTTCAACTATAAGCTCATAGGAAATCTGAGCACAAGCCACGGACAGTAGGCATCCCTAACAAGTAACAAATAACATTTTTAAAATGTGTGAAACCAAAGGCCTATTATAGGGGAATAGGAGAAATATTTCCCCAATCAAAACAGTGTAAAAATTCAAAATGGCGTCAAAACATGTTTTTTAAAATAATTTTTTCCTGAAGTCACTTTATAATCAAATCTTGACATATCAGCAAAGGCTTTAAATATACTTGTTGAAGAATCATTACAATGTATGAATGAAGCTACACGTTGCAATGATGAAAGTACGCTTTCCACATACTAAGACAAATTTTCTACCTAAGAATTTTCAGTAGGAATTACTGTTGCCCGTGAGATCCATGAGCATGAAAATGTCTTAAGCTTTACGCCAGCTATGTACTTTTATGAAGTGAGATTTTTCCCCCTATTAATTTCAGCACTGTTCGCTGGGTCTTCACAGAATAACAGATGCTGCATAAACATGTTTGAAAGTAATCAGAGAATGAGAAAATTGAATAGGATCATTCAAAACTAAGATACAAAAAGATATATGGAATAAGCTTTTGGAAAATAACTTTAAGTGAAGGTGGAGGTTTTAGAATATTTTCTTGGAGCTACAAAAGTAATGCTACATATTTACTTTGGTTTTTGGCAGTAACTCAAAAATCTTGAAATGTATCCTGTTATAGGTACTTTTTCACAAGAAAGCAACCATTGTGTTAGCTTCTGCAGTAACATTAAATTAATTGAAATTGTCACATAAAATACCTGCACTAGTAGATCCAATTCCTGTGGTGAGCACAGACCTTGGTGTAATTTTTGCTGCATATTTGAGGAATTGAGATTTCCCTGTGCCAGGATCCCCAACCAATAAAAGATGAGATTCACCTAGAAAAACGTAAATAATGTAGTTTTAAATTTCTATGAAAAGACTTGTAAGTGTAATTAATCAAAAAGAAAATGGTCCACTTGGGATGCCCACACAATTTATATTTTATATGGTGCTTTTGCTTAAGGTCATTCAAGGAGGGATTTAACCAGAATATCTTAGAAAAGTTGACTTTCAAGGTAAATAACAATCTTTTAATTGATTTCTGAATACCATTTAAAATCTAAATTTTTTAACAGATTTTTGTGCTATTTCCAGATGTTTAAGACTTTAACATTTAAAAAATTTTTGGCTTATAAAGTTTCTGATTTTATTTAATCTATTTTAAGTATCAAAATACTGTGATTAAATCTTTCCATCCCACCATATAAGTATTTTATTCTATTTTTATTTAAGTATTTTTAAGTGTCTGGGACTTCATAAGTGCTTTATAAATACCAAGTCACTTATGATTCTAACAGTTAAGCGAAAACCTTTTCATTCTATGAAAATTTTAGTAGTTTAATGAAATATCTATCTTAAAGTACTCTTATTTTTCAAACATAACGTAGATGAACATATGAGCATCCTGCAGCATGTTATCTCACTGATCAAGCAAATTTATTCAGTAATATTCAAGTATTTTCTGAATACATTAATAGGGAAATACTATATAAGCTCAACATTTAGCAGAAGGCCTTGCAAACAGTAGGTAATCAAAACATACAATACACATAAACCTTATTATACTTACTATTCTATACTGTACAGTATGGTTTTTGAGTCCCTACTAACAGTCTGATTTACAATAATGTCCTTTTAGTCTTTCGGTTAAGCCTTTGGTTATGACCCTCATATTGCCTATATGAGGGCCATAATAAACCTAGTTTATGCCAGATTCAGGTCAGTTAAGTGTGTTAACCACAAAAGAGCTTTCTGCCATTTGGATGTAATTACACACTTAGAGTAATTTTTGCTGGAATGCATGACCTATGGCAGCACCTCTTGGCAGATGGCACGTTTGCTACCCACCAGCAGAAGGGGAACCAGCAGGCAGATGACTAAGAGCAGCAGTCTGAGACAAACACACTGACAGTCACAGATGGAGAGACACTGACTTGGAGACATTAAAAAGCACTATTTCTTATCTTTTCCTCTTGGAGAGAGACTGGGGATCCAATGAAAAACACAGACAGTAAAAGAAATGTAAAGATTTTATTTTGTGGCACCCTGATAGGCTGGAACAAAAATATATACTCATTGAAAGTCTTTGGAAAGACTGGTATTCTACACAGTAGTTCCTGATGCTGGACTGAGTATTACATAGTGAACAACTGTCAGTTTTAAAAGATTACATTTGGAAAATAAAGCTCAACAAGCAATTTTTATTCAGGAAAGAAAAATTCTAGCTTCTCTTCTTACGCTGTGTGTTAATATTTCTCAAAAATTTTAAATGGGTACTAACCTCTGACCCGTGTTCCTGTAGCATCGGTCCTTTGAATCCCACCAGCCAGCACCAGGGCCACAGCAAGCTTTACTAGGTACATTCCAAAAACTTGAGGGCACAAGCTAGCCAATATTTCATTCCTTCCTGGGAAAGGCAGAAAGATGAGTTACCAATAATTTTCAAGAAATCCTAGCTGAAATTTCCCTTTCTATCCTATCTTCTTAGAAACACTCTATGCTCTAAAATGATCAAGGGTACCATTTCCAAATGACTAAAAGGAGTGAATAACTTTGTTTTGGTCCTAAAAGTCCTCTTCTTATAATGCCATGAGATGAAAATTCTTTTTATTCCTGGGTGCTACCTGTTTGTTTCTATAAATTTAGCGTACTTTACAAGGGACAGAAAGAAATCTCTTTTCTCCCTCATTGGACCAACATTATCCCTTAAAAATAATACCAGCTGCACTTCTTGTGCAATAATTTCAGTAAAATTACTCCACTGCCTAAATAAAAGGAAGGTGTTCCATCTCAGAAACAATGAGACAGATTGTAGAAGCCTGTAATCTTTAAATACAAAAGGTACCTGGAGCTCATGGAGCTTCTCCAGAGGTATAAGAGAGGTAAAATCAACCCATCCTGCAAGTCAATTCAGCATTTGCTCTGAGCAGTTTGGTAAATTGTCTTATCTAGACTAAGCATCAATGTATCAGGATATTTAGAAGATCATTATAAACAACAACTCTAGCAATCCAAGCTGGAGGTCTCAGGATTCTTCTGATAACATGCTTTAAAATAAGCGACTACCACGGTTTTAGGTTCTGTTTTCAGAAATATCAAATACCAAATCTGAGATCTGCCTATGCCATCAATGAATAAAGTAGATATTTCATTCTGTCATTGGCCAATCAACCAATGAGGCCCATAGAATTTACGAGACTCTAACAAGCCCCTACGGAGTCTGTCTTATACAGAATTCACTACTGTGATGGTACTCTGTATGTCTGCATTCAAGTTACCAGAAATTAATGTCCACATGCTGGTAAGTAATCTGCACATTTGAGGGCTTTCATATTTAACTCTGAGCTTGTACTCATGTTTCAATGATAGCCTTTTGAGGAGGAAAATAATCATAGAAGTACTACTTTAGCTGATGATTCCAGTTCCAGAAGCTTTTCTGTCAAGATAAAGGAAAGGGCCTTCCTCCATAATTCGTGTCCCTATGCACAAAGGCTACTTTTCCTAACAATCAAAATTGACTCAGTAGCAATTAAGCTATGGTGATGTGACCTGGGATGGCAGAAATGGTTAAGAAAGAAAACATTTTAGTAAAAAGGGAACCAAAAAGAAGAATTAGTAAATCCTGGAAGGAAGTTCATTAACTGCTGGAGGGAATCCCTCCTTTCCGGAGGTAGAAACTCTAGAGAAAAAAGATGAAAGGTCTGAGATCTACAGAGTTAAGACCCGACAGCAGGTATGTAAATTCTGACCAGAATCTGGAGATTACACATACAAAGAAAGAAAGAATAGCCTCAACAAGCAGGGAACAAGTAGGCAAACTGGCCTGGAAGACACTCAAGCCGGAGCTGTTAGAGCCAGCTTTTTCAGTAAAGGTGGATTCAGTGACTAATGTGCTGACAGGAAGCACATCCCACAGGCTCTGGTGGCAGAGCCCAGTGCTACTGTTCACTAGCTGTCTGACCTTGGGCAGGTTTCTTACTCTCTCCACCTCCATTTCCTTATCTGTGAAATGGAGATAATGATGGTATCTCGTAGGGTTGTTAAGGAGCTAATAGGTGCACAGCACACAGAATAGTATCTGGCACATAGTAGGAGCTACTTACTTGTTAACTATTATATTACCTGTACTACTTGTGCTTATTTCTCATCTCAAGGTTTCCTCACACTGTGGTCAACACAAAAGATACACTCTGAAGTCAGGTCTGAGGTACCAGAGAAGAGCAAAGGGGAAGGTCCATTCCCTAAATTTGTTATCTAAAGTTGAAAAACTTGATTCCTTGGGTCATGGCAATAGAAGCTCCCATGACTATATCATGGAAGAGAATGCATTAGGGTGAATACTACCCCATTCCTTCCCTCCCTCCCTCTCAAATTTCTGGTTCTAGACCATGTTAATAGTGTGCCCATGTAATCCACTCTTGTGGCATGGCCTTCAGTTACCCCAAGGAAGAGAACTTCTAGGATTTAAGATAAATGAGTCACCCTGGAGTGGGTTGAGATGGCCCAGAAGACCCCAACCCCTATATTTGGGTTTCTATCCAGCCTCTATGCATCAGGGCCATGGGATCCCTGAGATCAGTGTAGATCAGAAGAAAATCTTTAGCTCCTCGTCAATACTCACAGCACCAGAGCTTAATGAAGCAGGCCAACCTCCCAGAGCTGAGCAGTGAAGTCATCTCTGGCTTTAGACCAGCAAAATGAAGACACGCTTTTGGATGCAGCTCCCCACCTCCACCCTCCTCCCCACACCCCCCAACACACACACATACACTTTGAAATGGTAAAATATAGTGGGCTGATAATTGGTACTTAGGAAATGAAGAAAGCAGAATCTGTTCATACTAAAAAGAAAATAGTTGCCTCGTTTTCTCCCTGTCTTCTCACAGAATATTTCTTCTTTTCATCCAGTAAATGAGATGTATAGCTATAGCCTTCTAATTAAAACAAAACAGACTAATCACCAGCACAGAGAACTTCTGACGGCCTAGCTGGAACACTGTATGATGCCCTTCCTTCACTGTTACTAGGTGGAGTGTAGCTGTGGCACTGTAATTAATAAGGAATGATTATGATCCAAGGAAGAGTTACAGATTTTTTGTGAGGATTTGAGCCTAAGAAACAATTTTAAGTAAAAAAACTTATTTAAAAATACATATGATTCTTAAAAGGTTTGCTTAATAAAACCACAACATAGAGACCTTTGCTTCTTTTTGTGTGGATCAAATAAAAGAATGATCCGTAACTACCATACTCGTGTTACACACATAAGCAAAAAAAAAAAAATCATCCCACAAAATAAAAGCAAACTGCCTATATTTAGGCAAGTGAAAGCCTTTTCTTAAATTAATTAATTAATTAATTAATTAATTAATTTTTATTTCATTGAGCCACGCAGCATGTGGGATCTTAGTTCCCCGACCAGGGGTCGAACCCACGTCCCCTGCATTGGAAGCATGGAGTCTTAACCGCTGGACAACCAGGAAAGTCCCTGAAAGTCTTTTTTTGTGAAATAATATCTGTCCAGTTCAGCATGTGATTTAAGAATAAAGTAATCACTGTGTATTAGATTTGAGGTGAGGTTTATCAGAAATAGTCTTTTACTGGCTTCCGTTTATTTTTCTCAGAAGATGCCTCCAAGGAAGAATGAAAATAGACATTTGAAGATTTAATTGGTGTTTTATACATTTGGGATTTTTAAATAAAAAATACTCTACAAACCCAATGGCTATGTTTTAATCTGTGTAATGACATCTTAGTGTCAGTCAAAATTTTTTGCTGTGATGACAAAGCTTATTTTTTGCATCTTTCCTACTTCATATTTTTAAATCTTCAGCTAAAACCGTGTGAAGCTGTCTTAACTGTATCAGATACATCAGAAAAGAAATGGTTTTAATAGGATGAAGTTTCATAATAGGATGAGTTTTGCCTATTTAAGGCAGAACTATGTATTTAATTGGTAAAGAAGGTAGAAAGCTCTGAAACTATTTTGGCAATATAAGAGATGTTAAAATAATAGTTGAAACGGAAAATCTCTTGGAATTTCCAGTAAGATCTCTAAATAGAAAAGATTATACCAGAAAAGGGCTGCAAAGGGAGACTACAGCTAGAGGTACTGACTAATGCTACTCCCTTTGAACACAGTCACTGATACATAGCATGTAAATCACAAACATTATATTTAACTAATGAATAAAATGCCGTTAATAATTATCAGCTCTATACCCTTAACACAAACCTGCAAAAGGATCGCTCTTATAGTATTCCCAAAAATCTTCAAATTCTTTTCGGACCTCCTCATCCATGTTGATCCCTGCAGACTGCTCATTATTTACTTGGACGTAATTGGCTTTCAGGACTATCTCCACTTCACAGCGCACATCCTGCTGAAAGGGCTTCCACCGTTGCATTACAACCCCATAAATAGTGAGGTCATCACCTGGGACAAAGCACCGAGTGAGTCCAGCAGCAGCATCCTGCCTGCTTGGGCACAAACTCGACAAAGGACCAGAACCAAGAAATAAACCACTACCCCACCATGGTTTAGAGTAGTACACATTCTTCCAGAAATCATTTGGGGCAAAAGAACACCACAGAGTCCCGAGTTTTTTTTTTAAACAGGCACGTGTATTTGCACGGCTAGAAGCTAAAGCCAGCATTTTAATTTTTCTTAATCTGCCACATGATAATCACACCAAATTCTAAACTTTCCCTGGGAAAATAGTTTACTGGATGATTTATTCATCATGATTATATTGGGTGAAATGTTCATCCTCTCAGAATCTCTAACCATATAGTTCTCACTTAAAGAAGAGGTGGGAATTGCAGCCAAAAGGTTAAAGTGCAGTCTGCCCTCAGTATCTGCAGGGGATTGGTTCCAGAACCCACCTCAGATGCCAAAATCCACGGATGCTCAAGTCCACAGTCAGCCCTCTGAATCTGAGGTTCCGCATCCACAGATTCAAGCAACCATGGATCGTGTAGTACTGAAGTATTTACTATTGAAAAAAATCCGTGTATAAGTGGACCCACAAAGTTCAAACCCATGTTGTTCAAGGGTCAACTGCATAATCAATTTGGTGTCAGGAAAGGAGACAATCTCGTGATAATGGATACTATACTAGTTTTAGTTTCTTGTATATTTCATTTTTACTTAACTGCATTTGTTAACATTCACTCGCTGCCTTTTTTTTTTTTTTTTTCCGGTATGCGGGCCTCTCACTGTTGTGGCCTCTCCCGTTGCGGAGCACAGGCTCCGGATGCGCAGGCTCAGCGGCCATGGCTCACGGGCCCAGCCGCTCCGCGGCATGTGGGATCTTCCCGGACCGGGGCACAAACCCGTGTCCCCTGCATCGGCAGGCGGACTCTCAACCACTGCGCCACCAGGGAAGCCCAGCCATGAGGGGCGTCTCTGAGTGGGCTTGAATCGCTGCCTTTTTTTTTTAATGAACAAAAGAATGAGTGCACTAAGAAATGAATGAATTCTTGTCCTACTTCAAAGCTCCTTTCCATAAGCTATGAAAGCAGAAGATACAACCCTGCTTGTTCTTTCTTGGTTGGTTCCTTCCCATCTAAGGAAACTCTCCCATTCGTAATTGATGGGTAGAATATTAAACTTTTACAGATTTTCCTAAGAGGCCTTGGGTAACTTATAGGCACAATGACAACTTATAGGCACAATGACAACTGTTTTTATTATTACATTTCAATTAACGAGTATAGGTGAGTGCTTGGCATTCGATATTTTGGTACTGGAGAAAAGGGGGCAAAAAAGGAAAGATAATCCTAGTCCCCCAGATTTCAATCTTGTTGAACACAGGATGTTGGACATACCTTAAATCCAATCCTAGTATTCACACTCTGAACTAACAGGCAAGTCTTCATTTCCAAGCCTATATCAAATATATGATATCTGCTGATACAAAATGCCTTTCACTCTCTAAATGTCAATGTATAATGTGTAATCCGCAGGGCTTTTGATTTCCTGAAGAAAAGTGTTCTGTGAATGCTAAATGCATGGAACTGGTGGTAGCAATTCACCGAATAGAAGGCATATTTCTAGCCAAAGGCAACTTCACAGTAAATGGTGACGAACACATTAAATCTTCACACATTTTCAAGATACTTCCTCAACCACTGCTGGATGGTTTTCAAATCCAATCAGGAATAGTGATCATTTACTATATTGTCTGCCCCCAATTTTTTAGATGAAAATGGCCAGGGCAACTTTATATGAACACTTCAAAGAATTCTCTACTACGGTCATTTTAATGGGTTATATATAGGTTGTTTCTACATTAAGTCAAATGAGAAATTTAACTTTCAGGTATTGCACCCACTAGTAATAACCTGACTTTGCTAAGCAGCAGTAATGTGGAAAATGTGAAGTACTCAAGAATGGACAAGAGCACTGACTCATCAGATGTGGATTCAAATCCCAGCTCCACCACTCACCGGCTGTGTGGCAAGCTACCTAATAAACTGAGCTTATTTCTTGACCTACAAAATGGGAATAATTATACTTACATCATAGAACTATAGTGAGAATTGGGTCAGATAATATATATAAAGTACTTCATGCAATATCTAGAATACATGCTCAATAAATATTAGCTATTATTATAGTAAACCTACTTTACATTTGTAAAGCAACTAATACCATTAAACACCCTTTAATATATACATGTTTTCATTTATTCAGATATTTGAGAGACAGATTCATATGATCATCAGAACAACTGTGAGGTATACATGATAGTCCAAGGCAATAGATACTAATTTGAAACTTGCATGTTTTTCCATAGTAAATGTTACTGGAAAAAATGTTATTTTCAGAAAGCTAATTACAATCCAATCTCTTTGTCCCCTCTATCTTCTGCAGCATATTTACCACTGCAGCCACCCTGGTCAGACCCATCTTTGATCTCCTGCAGCACTTAACAGTTATCAGTACACAACCTCCAACTTTATTACTCTGCAACGTCAGACTGGGGTTCCTAACTAGACTGTAAATTCCTGAAGGGCAAGGATTATGCCATTTATGTCTTCTGATTCTCACAGAGGTTTGTAGCAATGGATAAATGAAAGACAGCTGATGACAGACTGCTTCCATCCATTCTCTATTGTTAGTGACATGTGAAAGAAAAATAGCTTAAGATTTTTTTTTTTTTTTTTTTTTCTTTTTTGCGGTACACGGGCCTCTCACTGTTGTGGCCTCTCCCGTTGCGGAGCACAGGCTCCGGACGTGCAGGCTCAGCAGCCATGGCTCACGGGCCCAGCCGCCCCACGGCATGTGGGATCTTCCCGGACCAGGGCACGAACCCGTGTCCCCTGCATCGGCAGGTGGACTCTCAACCACTGCGCCACCAGGGAAGCCCAGATTTTTTTTTTTTTAAGTGCAGAAAAAATTTAGTTTAGATGAACTGCATGAAAACATCTTAATCTCTATCAAAGGACATTTTCACGTTCTGGCTAAGCTCATACAAGCCCTGCTTTGCTAATCCAGACATTACAGATTCTGGTTAAAATCTAGAGTCTTATATGAACAAGGTACCTTGACACAGCCTTGTCCATTTAGCAGGCAAACCATGATCAAAGCTGTTATTTACTTAGAATACTGTTTAGACAAGTATGAACTGTTAATATATTTGACATAAATTTCAAACTATGGGTTGGTGATTCTTGGTGGAAGGGGAGAATATTTTGACAAGGAATTATTCTTGACTCTAGATACTGAACTCTGTTTCCACAGAGCCTTTGCCTCATCATTTTAATGAAACGGCAGCTCAGTAAAAATGGGGCATTTGGAGAAGCTTAGGGTTAAGAAAAGGAAATGATGGAATTTAGAGACATAAAGCATTTTCGACTTGTCCAGTAGGGGAGCACTGGGATATGAAATAAGAGGTCAGACATACCTGTTACTGCCCAGGGGACACATTGGTGCTAGTTTTTTTTTTTTTTAAATAGAGATTAAGGGGTTCTTAGTGAGGGTGGGAAATATTTAAAGCAGGAAATGTTGAAGTTAGTTGAAAGGCAATCGTTGACAACAATCATTTGCATTTTCTGACCCACCTTCAATTTAAATTAAATGTTAAACAGCCAGTGGAAATTGCTAGGCAAACAGTAAAGGCAACAGTTTTTAAGTTGTTTGGAATAAGAGGAGGAAACACAAAGGATAAGCTCTCATGGGCAAATCAGTTGCTTCATCTGTAAAACAAGCAGCTAGACTAGATCGCTGAACTCCAGCCCAGCTTCTTTCCTGCTATTACCTACCTCCTCATGCCAGTCTCTGTTCTCAAGTTCCCCACACTCACTTGCCAGTGATCTTGGGAAAATAAAAAGTGGCTTTTCCTAGTCAATACTTTAGGACATACTATATAAGCTAACATTCTCACCAGATTTGCAACTGTCTACTAAGTCATCTTCCAGGATAACCTTCATTGTTCGTGGGATACTTCCAACAGATAGCCTTTGAACCTAGCAAGGAAAAGAAAGCAGACACTGAGTATGCTCAGATACATACTAAGTATTCAGAAGCCTAGCAGTTCTTGCAATTCCTGTTTCTATTTCTCTGGTATTATCACACAATTTAATTACGATGGGGATTTATGGAATTTTCTTGAAACTTGTGCCTACTATCAGTTTAAGAATTCACTAAAACTACAATAAAATAAAAAATCCATATGGAAAATATCTCAAAATATAATCTACCTTGTGGATGGTCAAAATAAACACATGCTCCAACTACTAAACACAATAACATTTACTTAACTAGAAAAGAGAAGCAGTTCTTTCCTGCATCTAGTCATAAGACAAATCACTCGGTTCCTCTGATTATTTCTTAGTAACAGATTACAAACTTGTTCCCTAGTCCTGGCAATTTGCCCATAGCTGAAAAACACTTCTTCTAATTTGTTATTTTTTGCATTTATTAGATCATTTACCTGTTCCTGAATTTTGATTTCCTGATAATCTCTACACCTAGTTGGAGATGAAGACAAGTCTGAGAGGCAAGTGAATTTTGCAGAATCACAGCTCTCCAAGCTGGGACATGAGGATGGCCGACAGAAGGTATAATACTGCTCAAAGTCGGCCCTGACCACAAATACATGCTTGCATTTGTTGCACATGTAATCCCGCTCAAACTCCAGGATCTTCACCAGACTCGTTCGAATCACTGTCCCAGTGACAGATAAAAAGTGTCCCACATCCTTGGTTCTAGGGATGTGCTCCCTCACCAGCTCAGGACAAACAGGCAATCCTGATGGAGAAACAAAACAAAAACACATCAACTTCTACTTGGGATTTGACTCCATGTAATACATTTTTCTCATATTTTCTGAGGGAGAAAGTATAATTTCAGGAAAAAGAAATCTTTGTGTTTTACTTAAGAAAAAAGATCAACTGAAGAAAATATAAAAGAATTATTTCAAATAACAATTATCAACGGACTCTCTTTAAAAGTACGTATCTAGATGATATATTGATAATAACCTGGATTAAAAAAAGAATTGATTCTCTTAAGAGGGCTATCTCAGTAGGATGTAAACGCAGTATATAATTTTAACCTCATTCAATGAAGAATATACTGCCACATGCCCCACATAAAATCAAAGCTGAGTGATAAAGAGATGGTAGTGGAATGAACGAAGGCTAGTGCTTTTTCTAGTTAGGTTCAGGATTTATTAATACATAAATCGGATAGTGTTTTCAAGTCTTGAATTACCTAGAGGTTTACCTACAGCACCACTTCCTCCTTTAAAAACCTTGTGTTTTTCATCATTAATAAACGGGCAACTTAAAAGGTGCAAAATGCCAAAGAAAATTCTTATGTGGAAATGCCCTCTTTCTCGTATTTGGCTACAAGGCACCACTGGAGTAGAGAGATGCTGTCTGTGATGGTCAAAGGCTGCCTCCTAACAGGTTTATCAAGGGAGCATTTGTTACACTGGTTCATGTCCCGTGGTCTATGGTCTTGTCCTTGAACTTAGCTCTGAAACCTGATAAGTATGAACACTGAAGACAGATCTACTGGATTTGCCAAGCTCATAAGAAATAACCATAATAGGCATGATTACACTTTAAGTTTCTATGGTCAGAACATTTTCTCCCTGTTTATAGATCTATTCTGAAAGCCAAATCATTGTCATCATCACTGTCATCAGAAGGCAGTTTGGGATGCAAGGAATTTAAGGAAAAAAAATAAAAGCAGCAGACTGGTTAGATGAACTGAATGCTTAAGGCGCCAGCCTACATTAATCTGGTGATACAGCTTAGACGTCTACAGACAGACCTGAATTTTCTCTGCTGCTGGCTGAGACTCTCTCTTCATATATCCTATACTGTATAAACAGGGTGGGCACTGCAACATTTGCCACTATGACTATTTTTTCTATGCTTCCAAGGCTGACTTGCCTGCTTTCTAATGGAAATACTCTTTATTTATATTAACTTGGATTGTATCACACTTTGCCAGTAAGGGAGCCATACTTTTGCTTACAATGATTTTGTGTATCTCTGCTCTGTTCTGTGTCAACTGTACAGTTTAACTATCAGAAAACAAATTTATTTTCCTATTTCCAAATTCCTAGGGAACGCTTCATTAAAACACCCTGGGGCTCACCAGTGCTACATCACACATGCAGGAATAGACAGAGAGGTTGGGGCAGGAATAAAGCAGGTTTTAGCCATTAAAATACCCACTGTATTCATTTCTCAGTGCTCATCTCAGGCGTCTGTTAATTCAGCTGCATGTAGCTAAATGTTGAGAACACACCAATATTTCTAGTTACAACCAAGTAAAAGCCAAACTAACAACCAAAAGCTTTTCATTAAGAACAGGTCTAGGGCTTCCCTGGTGGCGCAGTGGTTGAGAGTCTGCCTGCCGATGCAGGGGACATAGGTTCGTGCCCCAGTCCAGGAGGATCCCGCATGCCGCGGAGCGGCTGGGCCCGTGAGCCATGGCTGCTGAGCCTGCGCGTCCGGAGCCTGTGCTCCGCAACGGGAGAGGCCACAGCAGTGAGAGGCCCACGTACCGCAAAAAAAAAAAAAAAAAAAAAAGAACAGGTCTAGTCCTCATATCCTCACTGCTTATGTTTCAGGGGTACAATGTCCTCTTTTAATTCCCATCCTAGAATGTTAAGAAACAAAAATCCACCAAGTGGAGGTGTCTCTTCTTACTTGGCCTTAATTCGATGTACAGTATGGCAACACATCTTCACAACGCTTGCAGATTCTCAATTACCTTTTTCTTGCTCCCCACATGAATGCTTTTTAAAAATTAGGATATAATTTAGGTACCATAAATTTGCCTTTTTAAAGTATATAATTCAGTGGTTATTAGTACATTCACAAGGTTATACAATCATCACCACTATCTAATTCCAGAATATTTTCACTGCTTCAAAAAGAAACCCTGGGGACTTCCCTGGTGGCGCAGTGGTTGAGAGTCCGCCTGCCGATGCAGGGGACACGGGTTCGTGCCCCGGTCCGGGAAGAATCCACCTGCCGCGGAGCAGCTGGGCCCATGAGCCATGGCTGCTGAGCCTGCGCGTCCGGAGCCTGTGCTCCGCAACCGGCGAGGCCACAACAGTGAGAGGCCCGGGTACCGCAAAGAAAAAAAAAGAAACCCTGTTCGCAGTAGCAGACAGTCTCTATACCCCCGCCCCTGCGCCTCTGGCAACCACTAAGCTACTTTATGTCTTTACGGATTTATCTATTCTGGACATTTCATGTAAATGGAATCATAAAATATGCACCCTTTTGTGTCTGGCTTCTTTCACTTAGCATACATTTTCAAGATTCAACCATGTTGTAACATGTATCAGTTCTTCATTCCTTTTTATGGCTGAATATTCCACTGTATGGATATACCACATTTTGTTTATACATTCATCGGCTGATGGACATTTGGGTTGTTTACATTTTTCTATTATGAATAATGTTATTACAAACATTTATGTGCAAGTTTTTGTCTGAATACCTGTTTTCAATTATCTTGGGCACACACCTAGGAGTAGGATTGCTGGGTTGAATATACTTTTTATAATAATTTTAATTTTTAAGTTTTCAAAGAATCACTAAGTGTTCTCTATTGTAAGTATGTAAAAGGATACTCAAGTGGGGAAACAGGATTATTAACCCAATTTGCTTCTTAAAGTATAAACAAAATCTATCAAAATTACTTCTGAGAAAGATGAGCAAAGTGAGGAGGAGAATAGGAAAAAAAAGTGATGGGTTAGAGAACTTAACAACAATTATATTTTTGAAAACACTTAGATGTTTGAAACATCCATTCTCTCTTTCTTGGCTCCTAAAGAAATAACATTTTTCATCCCATTTCTACTTCTCTCATTCCTAGCTCTGCTTCAGATGCAAATTGATTGTTCAGTTTAAATTCTACTGTCAATATATTAAAACTTAAGAAAAACTAAGATCACAAGAAGTGGGTTACGGAGAGTGCTATGTTACTCCGATGCCATGCACAGAGCAGAATGCCCAGTGAAACCACAGACTGCCCAGTGTAATTCAGCAGACTCTGGATGTTCAATATGATGAAGTCATACATATAACGAATGAGGTCTTAACATACTCATTTAGTTAGATGCTTGCTATTTTTGTCCTAAAAACAAACTTCAGTTTAAAAATGAAGCTATGTATAATTTTATTGTAGTTTTTTCCTAAAAAGCTACTTTTAAATTGATTCTGTGTCTTACTCTGAAGAGCATCTTCAAGTGGAAGAGTGAAACACCATATTCCCTGGTGCTTCTATAGTAATCCAGGCAAGAAATAACAAAGGCCTAACTTTTAATCTCCTCCACTTAAACCCTTCCATGCTGCTCCCAGATCTAAGAATAAGGAACCAAATGTGGGATTGGACCACAGGACGTTTTGTGACGGGCTTCTTCTCACACCAAACCCTCTGGGCACTCAAATGCTCTCATACAGTGTCCCCTTTGCCCACTCTCCTCCCTACTCTGTCCCTCAAAAATGCCCACGCTAAGAAGCAACATAAGGGTTCAGAATACATACTGCGGAGCCCGAATGAGTGAGTTGAGTCACAGCTCTATCACGCACTAGCTGTGTGACCTTGACCAAATGATAACCTCTCAGATTTCCCTCCTGTAATACGGCAATAACAACAAAACCTACCTCATAGGATCACAAGAAGATTAAAAGAATTCATATAAAGTTTCTTGGAAAAGTAACTTGCACATAACAAGCACCATTTAAACAGTTCTTATATGTAATCTTATCATTTTCCCCCTTAAAAGGTTGGCTTAAACATAATTTTCTTAATGAAATCTTTCTTTAACCCATTTCAGGTTAAACTCCCTCTTTTATGTGCCTTAACACACTGTTCTTCTTCATACCACTTACCACAATTTAAATAAAAAGAATACATAATTATTATGCTTCCACTCTAGAATATAACCTCCATGGGGGCAGGGCAGAGGTAAATTTTATTCACTATTATATTATCATTGCTTTATAAATAGTAAGCATTAAAAAAGAAAAAACTTGAAAGATAGATGAAAGGAAGAGGGGAGGAATAGATATTAAAGATACTACATGAGTTTTGAAACCAATTAGAGATAAGGTATAAGGAAGAGGGTGAAATTTAGAGCGACTCCTAGTTCTCTGGTTCCATTAACCAAGTCAGGGAATTCTGGAAGGCACATGGTAGTCAATCAGTAACTATCTATTGAAAGAATAAATATGGAAATACGATTTTCAGATGGAGGGGGGCACAGAGAGGGGAGGGAAATCATGACTACCCTTTTTGATACACTGAGTTTGCAAGAAGATATCTCTAGTTTGAAACATCTGACGGACAAGAGGATATCTGAATACAGAGCTTAAGAGACAGATTCTGGCAATCAAGCAATCAATCAATCAAGTTGGCACTTGTTGCTCTATAAGTGGCAGCTGAAGCCTAGGTTCAGAAAGGAGGCCATCCCATCAGGAAGAGAACGCAGGATTCAGGAGCAGATGGCCACATCTGCACCCTGAGGATCTCACACCCACAGGACCAGTAAAGGAAGAGGCTCCCAGAGCAGGGAGAAAAGCCACAGCTAGAGACGGAGGAAAGGGCAAGACAGTGCTGTCAGTGGAGTTTCATAAAGGGGGAGGAGGCAACAGTATCAAATCCAGCAGGGAAATAAAGGAAGAGAAATCCCGACACTCGTCCCTCAGTCTGGCCATGAGGCAGCCACTGGGAAGGTGGGGGAGGGTGCATTCAGTGTGGTGGAGGTGAAAGGGTGAATGGGGGAAGGTTATGCTAAAGAAGGCATGAACTCTGTCAAAACATTGTTATGAAAGGAGAGTAGATGGAGGGTAGAGGGGACACAGAGTTGAAAGAGGGGCCTCTCTCCTGAAAGGGAGACAGAAAGGATTCCTGGTCATTCTGGCCACTGCCCACCACACCCCCATAGGATGCATGTCTTATCTAAATCCAGATTCTTGAGTAGAGGCCATGGTTGGGCTTTAGGAAAGCCCTGAACCTCTTGAAATTCAGGCAGACATTTAAATATATATACACCTGCATTTTCTGAAGAGGATCTGTAACTTTCTCAACATATAACCCTGAAGAACCTCTTACTTAAATCCTCAGTCCCATAGTTCTATTGACTTGCATATCACTACCTCTAAGAATAGAAAAAGGGGCTTACATTGTGGGAACAGTTGCTAAACCTCCCTCCCCTCCTTTCATTTAATAGTAATGCCCTAACGTCTCTTATTGCCTACTCAGCTCCTGTTTAGATCACATCCTACACGACCTGCCCCAAATGCTATGACAACATGACAGGGACATTCATAATCACTTACTGCCTGGACCAGTCATTTAGGACCTTAGTCACGTATTGCTTTGCACTGCTCCTTAACCGTTTTGTATCTGGAGGGTAGCGTCACTTCTTGAGATCCTTTTCATGCTCCTCTGTGCCCAGCCCAGTGCTTTATTAAGCACTTTTAGATAAGGAGAAAATTAGTGAATAAGAGAAGGGGAAATGGGCTTTCCCTCTCTCTCTAGCCTTCCCTTTATCACATCTGGCCTCCAATCTCCTAGTCCAGACAAAGTGCATGAATTTTTCTGTGCATTTCGTGGTACCTCTGTAGCTTTCCTTAGGCATGCTACTTTGTCTGGAGAACTCTCCCCAGTTCACTCAGCCAGGAAGAGTACACTCAAGTTTACCCTTTTGCAAGAAAACTTCCCTAAGTCCAGTCTAGCGCCCTCACACAGACACAAATGGAACAGCTAAGCAAAATGGTCAAATGAATGCATCATTGCATAAAAGATGCTTCTTATATCTGGAGGAAACCTCTGCCAGGAAGAGTGAAAAAGAAGATACTCCTTAGGTCCAGAGACACCTTCCTTTCCTTGCACATGATAACTCAGGCCTGTGCATGCTGGGTCATGACAAGTCTATGCAATACTGATTTTATTTCAATCAGCATAAGGAGATGTGCTGGGGAGATATTACACACTCAGGAAGAAGGCAGGTGAGAGGTGGAGGGCGTCAGGCTCAGCCACAAGGGTCCCTCATATGCTCACCAACCTTCTCTGTGTCCCTCCTGAAGTGTGGCCAGCAAGAGTGAATTCCCTGCCACCCACCTCCAACAAGGGGCCTGTGTCTAAACCCAATTACAGCACCTCTAAAGAAAAAACTATGTAAACATTTACAACCAATTTTTCTAAGATTAGCTTTTCATTATCTTCTATACTTTTATAATATGGGGCAATATGCCATCCTTAATGTTCTTATCTTACTGAATGGAATCATGTATATGGTACCTGTTAGGATAAACATTTTTTTTTTTAGAATCAAGCAAATTAGTCTAAAACATGATATCATTACCATTAAGTGGTTTATTTTGTACAGTAAAGTAACTATATTATTTTAAGAAAAGGGTAGTAGAGGGGAGTACATTTTTGGATCTTCAGATTCTTTACTTTCATATCACAAGTTTTAAAGTAAATTTATAATATAAAGACAGAGATAAAAGTTACATAATGTTAAGCAAAACTGACCACAAAAATCAAAACCTTAGAACTAAAAAAGGGTAAGGGACAGTGTTTTGATAGAAATGTCAATTCATTTTAATATTTCTGTCTTACTATATGCTACTAAGTGTGTTCTTCAACTATCCCAGTGAAGCAGGGTACATCTGGCACTAAGCCCCCATTAGTGCTAAACAACAAAAACCTTTGTCATTCTCTGACTCATTCACTGATCAAAATAAGTAAATAAATTTTTATTTAAAACAGAGACATGTCCACATCTGTGTTAGAGATATGTCCAGATCAATTACTTCAGGTCCATGGTTTCCAGCGTGCAGTCCCTAGAAATCGGCATCAGCCTCAGAGCTTTGAGAAGGGCAAATTCTTGGACCCCAGGCCAGACCTCTTCAGTGAGAAACTCTGGGGGTGGGGCCCAGCAATCGGCGCTTTAATAAGCCCTACAGGTGATTCTGATGCCCATTAATGTTTGAGAAACACTACTTTAAATAACACGTGAGGGCTATTTTTTTCTTCCTCATTTATTCGATACTTTGATGCTAACTGAGTATTTGAATACCTTTCATCAAAACCACTGGGAATAGCAAGTAAACTTTCGACCAATAAAAATCCCAGAAGACAAAGAGCAATGCAATGTTCCTAAGGAGACTGAACCACAGAGGCATCCTGGGTTTTACTAATTCAGTGCCTTGTCTGGAGTCCAAGATGGAGGCGCAATATACCTAAAACCAGACTTTTCCCATCCCTGGTTCATTCTGCCTGGGACACCTGCATCCCTGCCTAATCTCACCATCTAGTCTTGAATCTTTGGGTGAAACCCCTAGGACAATTCACTCCCTGCCCAGTGAGCTAATATATCTCACACATACCTTGAGTGATGCATGCATCACATAAGTAAAAGCTGCCTGTAAGCTTCTTTACAATTATGTTTAATATGTACATATGCATGTACCTGTGGGCATACATACACGATATGGAAATATTTGAATATATAGCTGTCTCCCCTACAGCCTTGAACTCCTTTAGATGAAGGACTATACCATATTCGTTTTGGTTTCCCAAGTGTCTAGCAAATGCCTACACGGGATATGTTTGTAGAATGAATGTTACTATGGTAGTAACATAATTTGCAACTCACTTTCTCAGAGAATAATGAAGAACTAGGCTAAATTCACCTGAAACCAATAGAGTCACTCAGGCAGACAGAACTTTAGTATTTAAACTGAGCATGGAAAAGTTTCTAAACGTAAGGACAGCCTAAAACCATTTGCTAAATACCATTTCAATAACATTAACTAAAGCCTCTTTTAATAATCCTTCTGCAACATTATCAGAAGAGGACATTTCTTCTTGATCCTAGCAAGAGATTACCTAGTGTCTGATGCATGAAGATTAATAATCTTCATAATTTTATTCCAGTAAGTGCAATCGCAGATACTATTTTTTCACTCAGATACTATTTTTTCACTTAAATCAAATGTCTGGAATTTTTTTGAATCTTAATTTATCTCCAAGAAATTCTATAGTGACTCCTAACCTTTTTTGGAATCACAGTAATCATTTTTGTTGATTATAAATCCCCACCTTTCTGAAATGTACTATAAAGTAAATATTTATTTTTAATCAAAATGGTACATGTGTTCTCCAACTTAATCAAAGAGTGCAGGAATTCAAAGACACAGCTTTGACACCACAAGTTGCTGATTGCTCCACTGCGATTTCTTTAAAGTTAAGAGGCTTTATCTGTTGTTCATTCAAAAAAAGTTATTGAGTGCCTAACAGGTGGCCAGCACAATGTTAAACTTGATATATAAAAATAATGAATTTCCTAAAATAGTTTTGAAGATCACTAGGTAGCATCTACCACTTTGCTAATTCTTTGAATTATCAATTCTTTCATTGTCAGGAGTCATAAAAGCTCAGAAAGCTGAACTAGTTTTGTACACACATACATATATGTATATATGCACACAAATATACTGCCTCCACACATTCTCCCTCCTCTCAGTTGGCATGGCTAGTACCCCAGCCTCCCAAATGTCCAGAGAAAACAGTATAAAATCGTGATTCTTTTCCAAAAGTGACCATCAACTACATAATGGATATATTTTAAAGTATAAATGTCAATTAATTCTTAGTGCTTAAATTCAATATATGTTGGGATTTCTCAAAATCTTTCTAAACAATAACATGGCAGTAAAATCCTTAAGTGATTCACCTGATATCCTGGCGTGAAGATTCTGCTTCATGGAGACACCTTCAAGCTGAGAAAGGGACTGGAGAATTGTCAAGGCTGATCTTTGAAGTGCACTATCAAAAATAGTTAGCACTTCATTAGGGAACACGTTGAAATATTCCCCGATTTCCATGTTGGTCTCAAAAAGGGTCATGGCATTAACCACAACTGGGTAATGAGCATCTTCATCTCTTTCCTTCAAGATGAGAAGAATATCGTTCTTATGGTATTCCGAAACATATGACTCAAACACTTGACCAACCAGTGTAACCTGATCGCTATTCATCTTGGATCTAGGTAACAAAAGAAAGACAAAGGACTGTATTATACCTTTGATTTTCTAGACTTATACACTAGTTTACAAAAAGATTGGTTATAAATCATTCTGACTTTGGGCCACACTCTAATCTCAAAATACTATCTGAATTCAAATCTTAATTAGATCTGACAGAGTCACAGTCACTTATCAAATTTATTTTTTTCAGTGAGTGAAGTTAATTTTAAGTCAAAGAATTATGTTGGTACTGATAACCGAAATCCAAAATGGTCCAATGCCTTTCCCATATCTTTTCCCCAAACTTCCTCCTCTTAACCCTATAATACATCATGTAAAAGTCCTTTGCCTTTTCTTTAATCAGATTCCATATATGCGTTTGCTCTCAAGTATAAAATCTTAAATGCCAGTCTTTTGGTTTAAGTTACTCCTAGTAGAGTTCTTTGCAAGCATCCTGGTTCTACATTTTAGTCACATAAAAAACATATCTTTCTCTCTGTCTCCCCGCAACCTAGTTACATACACGCACGCACACACACACACACACACATTCATTTGTATTCTGCTACTTAAACAGAACACACACTACTATTCAGATTGGTCGCCAATTCTGACTTAAACAGTTAACAAATTTGCTTTAGAAATTTACATTTGGAGGTGAACTTGTTCCTATTTTCTTTTTCTAACCTAGGAAAACTATTAGCTTCAGCAAAAACAGCTGTCAAGAGTCTAAAAAAACTAGATCATTAAAATGAGGAAAGGAAATTGGTCTCTAAATAATAAATCACTATGATTGAAAGTAAATACAGTATATTAAATTCCTGGCTATATGTATATATTTTTTAATTTGTACCTACAGATTAAAAGGGCCTACCCCCATTCTATTTTCATGTACACACGTAGATATCTACCATGTACAAGGCACTATTCTGGGAAATGAAAAAAGCATAATAAAAGGTCCTCTATGCCCTCAAAGAACCAAGGTACAGATCAAATGAAACGGTGCTCTAACAGTGGCAAAAATGCAATACAAATAGGAGCACAAAGAAGAGAAGGATTAAATTTAAATGCAGTGACAATCCCAGATGTGATAATGGACAGTTACAAATAAACTGTCCAAATGGATCATTTAAGAAATTCTTATTAGTCAAAGGATAAGTGTCCTCTGACTAATTTCGTTCAACCAACGTTTATTGTACTAGGCTTTAGAAACAGAAAGATTAAAGAAGATTGTGACATTCACAGTTTAGCATCCTAAATATGTATTACACGTGCTATTAGCAATATTTGCCTTCTCTGGGAATCTACTAGAAGGTGTGGGGGGGGGCACGGTATACCACAGTTAGGTCAAGAATCCTGACACCTAGAGGATGCCAATGTGAGATTAAGAGATGTGTAGGCTACTATATGGGTAAGTATTTAGTTTGGGTTAGGTAATATAAATTCACCTAAGCATAAAGCAGAAAAAGCACTTGGGAAGGAACAGCTAATCATACAGTATATTCACGATGTGGCCGTTGCTAAAAAAAATTAAAAAAAAAAATCTGGAATCCCAAGAGTGGCTATAAAATAATCTCTAAGATTCTATAAATGCATATTAAATTTGCAGCCACAAATTTAGCAATTTAAAAGGCAGTTCCACATAGGGCAGGAAGGGGACAGCCGCAGAATTCATGGTTCAGATTAAGATCAGATTAAATTTCGCCTAGTCTTTTTGAAATAGCATCACTAAAAACAATAGTACTCACTTTCAATACCTGGGCACAACTGACTAATCAAATATTTCTTAGCAGTTTGCAAACGCTAGAAACATGCTCACCCAGATTGACTGGTGGCAGTGTTTTACAACTTTCAAGTTCCGTTTCCTTTTTCTTATGGAACATTTGAAGACAAAATAAATAAAGACAAGTTGTGCTACCTTATCCTCTTGAGTAAACTGCCAACAAGAAAAATCCGGGAGAATGCATCAGCGGCAATCTAGCTGGCTCCCAGGTGCCAGCCCGCCCCCCGCCGCGCCGCCCCTCCAGGAGCCACGCCCCTCCGCGTCCCAAGACCCGCCCCGCTGACACCGCCCCTTCCCCGCCCGCCCGCTTCAGGTCGGCGCCTCCTCCATGCCTGGCTCGCCGCGGGCGCTCGGCAAACGTGGAGCCGATTTGTGCCCGGAGAACTGCTTTCCACACTTCTGTCTCTGGACGTAGCCCGTACCCTACAAGAACTCGGCAGGTCTCTGACACTTCCCAGGCTCGGCTGCGGGCAGTTCCATCGCGGGCCTGGTCCCAGAGTTAAATAGTTTTGGAACTAACCAGGGTGTGGGCGAGACTTGGGACGCACTATGAGAAAAATAATGGTGCAACAAGGCAGCGGCTGTCACTTACTGGCGGATACGCGGTGTCAGAAGTCACCGAGGGCGCACTGCTCCCGAGGCCGAGGGGCGCGGAGAGCTCAAGCCGATCGGCGGGGTCCAAAGAGGCGGGAGGAGGCCCGGGTGGGGGCGGGGCGCGCGCGTGGGGCCGCGCGGGGCGCCGTCGGCCGCGGGGGCGCGCAGGCTCCAGCGCGCCCACCTTGCGCCCGGATGAGATAGGCGCCACGCGGGCGGCTCTGCCGGGCCCGCGCTCCCGAAAGGCGCCGGGACGTGCACTGCCTCAACTTGGCGGCTCAGGTGGCTCTTCCGGGTGGAGAAGCGGGCGGGCGCGCGCCCCGCCAGCCGCTGCTGGACGAGAGGGGCGGGGCAGGGCTGGCTGGGAGGGGCGAGTAGGGTCCCGGGCGGGGCTGGGCGGAGCCGCCGCTCGGTAGTGGGGAGGAGTGTCGGGCTGTGCTTTGGCTGTGAGGGAGTGTATGGCCCTGGCTTTCCGGCTCAGAACTCCGCCAAAGCCAAGGCCACAACGATTATCTGTCTGCTTCTAGAAGTTTTAGAATGAAGGTTTTATGTTTAGGTCAATGATTCATTTTGAGCTAATTTTTGGATATGATTTGAAGTGTGGATCTTAGGTAACTTTTTGTCATATGGATATCTACCACTATTTGTTGAAAGAGCTGTGTTTTTTCCACGGAATAGCCTTTGCACCTGTGTCAAAAATCAGTTGTCCTTATATGTGGGTCTAACACTTAATATTTCTGTTCCCCAGTCTATTTGTCTAACTATAAGAAAACAACGTTGTCTTAATTACTCTAACTATAATGAGTCTTGAAAGCGGGTAGTGTTTGGCCTCCAATTTTGTTCTTTCAAAGTTGTTTGGGCTCTTCTCTTTCAATATGAATTTTAAAGCCAGCTTGTCATTTTCTATTAAGAAGCTGGGATTTCTGTTGGAGTTGCATGGAATCTATAGGTCAATGTGGGAAGAATTTATGTGTTAATAATATTGAATCATATGACCCTTGAACAAAGTAAACCTCACCATTTATTTAGGTGTTATATAATTTCAAAAATGTTTGATCTTTTGTCAAATTTATGTCTCAAATTTATCCCTAAAATCATGGGGAAGGAGGAACCATACTTTTTAAAAAATTTTTATTTACTTTTGGCTGTGTTGGGTGTTTCTTTGTTGCACACAGGCTTTCTCTAGTTGCGGCAAGCGGGGGCTACTCTTGTGGTGCGCGGGCTTCTCATTGCAGTGGCTTCTTTTGTTGCGGAGCACGGGCTCTAGGTGCGCTGGCTTCAGTAGTTGCAGCACATGGGCTTAGTAGTTGTGGCACGTGGGCTCTAGGCGCGTGGGCTTCAGTAGATGTGGTGCACGGACTTAGTTGCTCCACGGCATGTGGGATCTTTGTGGACCAGGGCTTGAAGCCATGTCCCCTGCATTGGCAGGCAGATTCTCAACCACTGAGCCACCAGGGAAGTCCAAGGAACCATACTTTTTGATGATATGTAAATGATATTTTCAATTTCAATTTCTGGTTCTTTTCTAGCATGTAGAAATACAATTGATTTTTTAAATTTTATTATTAAAATTTTTAAATTAATTTTTTTTTTAGAGCAGTGTCAGGTTCATAGCAAAATTGAGCAGGAAGTACAAAGATTTCCTTTATGATCCTTGTCCCCACACACCCACAGTTTCCCTATCAATATCCCTTTACCAGAGTGGTGGGTTTATTACAACTGATGAACCTGCATTAACACATCATCATCACTCAAACTCCACGGCTTATAGTAGGGTTCACTCTATGTGTTGTACATTCTGTCCGTTTTGACAGATGTATAATAACATGCATCCACCCCTGTAGTATCATACAGAATAGTTTCACTGCCCTAAATAAAAATCTTCTGAATTCTGGCTGTTCATCCTTCCCTCCCACCTAACCCCTAGCAACAACTGATCTTTTTACTCTCTCTGTAGTTTTCCAGGATATCATATAGTTGAAATCATACAGTATGTTGCCTTTTCAGACTGGCTTTTTCACTTAGTAATATATATTTAAGGTTCCTTCATGTCTTTTCAAGGCTTGGCAGCTCATTTCTTTTTGGTGCTGAATAATAGTCCATTATCTGGACATACCACACTTTATCCACTCACCTACAGAAGGACATTTTGGTTGCTTCCAAGTTTTGCCAATTATGGCTAAAGCTGCTATAAACATCCACGTGCAGGTTTTGCCGTAAGTTTTCAGCCCCTTTGGGTAAATACCAAGGAGCATGATTGCTGTATCATATGATAAGAGTAGTTTTGTAAGAAACCATTAAAATGTCTTCCAAAGTAGCTGTACCATGTTGCATTCCCATCAGCCATGAATGAGAGTTCCTATTGCTCCATATCCTCTCCAGCATTTGGTGTTTTCAGTGTTTTGGATTTTAGTCATTCTAATACATGTGTAGTCTCTCATTATTATTTTGCTTTGCATTTCCCTGATGACATATGATGTTGAGTATCTTTTCATCTGCTTAATTTTCATCTATATATCTTCTTTGGTGAGGCATCTTCAGGTCTTTTGCCCATTTTTAAATAACATTGCTTATTTTCTTATTGTTGAGCTTTAAGGATCCTTTATCAAATGTGTCTTGCAAGTATTCCATCCCAGTCTGTGGCTTGTCTTCTCATTTTCTTGACATTTTCATTCACAGAGCAGATTTTTAATTTTAATTAAGTCCAGCTTATCAATTGTTTCTCTCATGGACTGTGCTTTTGGTGTTATATTTAATAAGTCATCACCCCAGAGTATCTAGATTTTCTCCTCTGTTCTAGGACTCTTATAGTTTTGTGTTGTACACTTAGGTCTATGATCCATCTTGAGTTAATTTTTGTGAAGAATGTAACGTCTGTGTCTAGCTGTGTGTGTGTGTGTGTGTGTGTGTGTGCACGTGCCTGTGGACATCCAGTTGTTCCAGTACTATAACAGAGAAGAACAAACTTGACTCCATGTTGAATCTATTCCTTTAGCTCTAACCCTTGTGCTCTGTTGCCTGTGCTTAGTCATGCTGGCTCTGAACCTTTTATAAAAGAATGTTGCCTATAGCCTGAAGTATACGGGATAGCCCATTCTCAAGGCTCTGACCTTTAAAGCTGTAACACTTTTCCATTCATATAGAGATAAAAAGTTGCAGAACAGAGAATAACATCTGTCTTGTTGGAGGTTTATAGGAATATTGTGACCAGACCTACCTGGACAGCTGCAAGAACAAAGGATTCCAGCACCAAGAAGTTTACAACAACCAGCCACACCCCTCTCCCCTTTTAGCGCAAAAGAAGCCTGAGTTCTAACTGAGGAAAGATGGTTCTTTGGGACACCATCTTCTCAGTCTGCTGATTTTCTGAATAAAGTCGCTATTCTTTGCCCTAACCACTCGTCTCTCGATTTATTGGCCTGTTGTGTGGCAAGCAGTAAGAGCTTGGACTCGGTAATAGTACCATTTGTTGAAAAGACTATCTTTGCTCCATCTGTCAACGATTTGTATTGCCTTTGCTCCTTTGTCAAAGATCAGTTGGCTATATTCATGTGGGTCTATTTCTGGGCTCTCTATTCTGTTCCACAGATCTATTTGTCTATTCTTTCACAAATACCACGCTGTCTTGATTACTGTGGTTTTATAGTGAGTCTTGAACTCAGGTATTGTTAGTAGTCCTCCAACTTTTTTCTTCTCCTTCAATATTGAGTTTGCTATTCTGGGTCTTTTGCCCTTTCACATAAACTTTAGAATCAGTTTGTCAACATTCACAAAATAACTTGCTGGGATTTTGATTGTGATGAGATGACTCTATAGATCAAGTTGGAAAGAGCTGACATTTTGACATATTGAATCTTCTATCCATGAACATGGAATATCTATCTCTTCACTTATCTAGTTCTTCTTTGATATACTTTATCAGATTTTTATAGTTTCTGTCATATACATATTGTATATATTTTCTTAGATTTACACCAAACTATTCCTTTGGGGAGGGTGTTAATGTAAATGGTAATACGTTTTTAATTTCAAATTCCACCTGTGCATTGCTGGTATATAAGAAAGCACCTGACTTTGCATATTAACCTTATATCCTGCAATCTTGCTATAATCACTTATTAGTTCTAGAAGATTTTTTGGTAGATTTTTTCCATATTTTCTATATAAACAGACATGTCATATGCAAATAAGGACAGCTTATTTCTTCCTTCCCGATCTGTATGCTTTTTATTTCCTTTCTTATTTCATAAAGTAGGACTTCCAGTATGATATTGAAAAGCAGTGATGAGAGGGGACATCCTTGCCTTGTTACTTATCTTAGTAGGACAGCTTCAAGTTTCTCACCATTAAGTATGATCTTAGCTGTAGGTTTCTTGTAGATGTTCTTTATCAACTTGAGGAAGTTCCCCTCTATTTCTAGTTTGCTGAGAGTTTTTATCATGAATGGTGCTGGATTTTGTCAAATGCTTTTTCTGCATCTCTTGATATGATCCTGTGATTTTCTTTCATTATCCTGACCATGTGAGGGATTACATTAATGGATTTTTAGATTGGAACCAGCCTTACATATCATGATAAATCCAACTTGGGTGTAGTGCCTAATTCTTTTTATACAATGTTGGATTCAATTTGCTAATATTTTGTTAAGGATTTTTGCATTTATGTTCATGAGAGATATTGGTCTGTGGTTTTCTTGTAATGTCTTTGTAAGATTTTGGTATTAGTGTAATGCTGGCCTGAAAGAATGAATTAGGAAGTATTCTCTCTGCTGTCATGTTCTGGAAGAGATTGTAGAGAATTTGTATAATTTTGTCCCTAAATGTTTGATAAGAATTCACCATTAAACCCATGAACCTGGTGCTTTCTGTATTAATTTTATATATATATATGTGTATGTGTGTATATATATATATATATTATATATATATAATATATATATATACATATATAAGCCTATTCAGACTCTATTTGTTCTTTTGGCAGATTGTGTCTTTCAAAGAATTGGTCCATTTCATCTAGGTTATCAAATTTGTGGGCATAGAGTTGTTTGTAATATTTCATTATGATCCTTTTAATGGCTGTGAGATCTTTAATAATATCCCCTCTCTCATTTCTGATATTAGTAATTTGTATTTTCTCTCTCTTTTTCTTAGGCTAGAGGCTTATCAACTTTATTGATCTTTTCAAAGATTTTCTCTATTGATTGCCTCTTTTCAGTTGCATTGATTTCTGTTCTGATTTTTATTATTTCTTCTCTTTTGCCTACTTTGGATTTAATTTGCTCTTCT